AAACAGTTTTTATACGAAGGTATACTCAATACGTTATACGTAAATTCACTCTGGGTTATTTTATTACAAGAGTAAAGCTAATCCATTTTATGACAACGAACATGATGAATTTGACCTAAGTCACAGTTGACTTATACAGAGTCCTCAGAGACGCTTAGGTAGTCAAGAAATTCTTCGTCTCTTATGGTACTCGAAGGTTCATTGTTGATTCTCGGCTCTACAACCCTGTTGTGGGTTTTCGGAGGTTTCTTGGAATCGAAGTGCGCTCTTATGAGTAGTGAGTGACCAGTCCACTGACTCTGCACAATTTCTACTCAATCCTGATTTGACTGCCAGAGCCATCTAGCAGAGCAGCAGTGAATCAGGAGAGGATTGGGTGAGAAATGGCCACTGAATTTTGCTTACGAAACATCTCGTTCATTCTCTAAGACATGGAACCGCCGGCTTTACTTCCCCTCCGAAGGAAGATGTGCTACCGATTTTTATCACCCTTGAAAATACATCGACCTCGGCCGGGACTGAACCCGCGAACCTTGGGTCCAGTGGCGACTCGAAGGTTCATTACTGTGTTCAAAACGGCATGTCACAGGGCATTTTCCTGTCCATCTCACTGATTTGGCCATTTGCTATTTGAAGCACGAAGTCGATTTAACTATTGCCCAGTGTTCAACAAAGTTCAACGAGTTTAGTTTTCACGAATGTGATGATGATGATCTGGGTTTTGGCGCCGTGTAGACTCGTCGGTAGATTTAACCGTTTCGGAGAAATATGTTGTCTCTTCTTCAGGTCTGAAATGCCGATGCTGGGAAGAAGGGCTGTGAGAGTGTACCAGTCAGGGGCAAGGAATGGAGGAGAGACAGTGAAGGACCAATAGGAAGTCTTCAAGCATGTTCGACGGGGTGGGGGGTAAGGGGAAGGGTAGACGGTAGAGAGAGATGTCCGTGGAGGATTGAGTTGTTCTTCCTTTTGGCCACTTTATTCCACACATTTTGACGAGTTCATCCATCCGTTCTGCTGGTGTCGGAATTTATCTGTTGTAGAAATTCTTTCGTTTGTCTAAGTTATTAGCCACGTGTTCATTAATTTCAAACACAAATTTATTGCTGGAAATATAATTGTACTAAATACACCAAACTGCACAAAGGCAAAAACTATTCACCATGTTGGAAAGTGTTTCAGATAAAAGTTGATGAGATCTCTATTTTAGTTGCACGTTAATTTCTTATGTAATGAATCGTTTTTCGGATCAAGGTTTAAATAGGTATTATAATTTTCCGGAACGTACAAAATTACATTCGCCAGACAGCGTTTAAGTAGACGCCAGTGCCAAATTTAATAGATATCCATCTAGAAGTTCTGGAAATGAAACCTGTGTGGGCAGTCTTCTCCCATATATTTTCACTAGTGCATTTCGAGCAAATAATGCGTTAAACCACGTTTATGTACAATAATACTAGCTTAGTAATGAATTAGATGTTACGCGGTTACCATGGCAACGGCGTGATAAAGAACCTGTTCATACTAAGTCTCGGCTGTTTTCTGCCTGCATTTGATCAGAATAGCCACTTCGGTATTAATGATAATTCAGGATAAGTTCAGATACGATTTCAAAATTTAATTACAAATAAACATGACTGGAGAGGGTAGATGTTTATTTCGTAACCTTGCTGTACGGTGCACTGAGAGAGAACGATGTATGTTTAAAATCATTTGATATAATTCTGTTCTTATGCAGATGAACGTGTACTTGTAGATACTGAGGAAATAAGAAATGCACATTGCAAACCATTAAGAGCTGATTCGCGAAAGATCCTTATTAGAACTTCTAGTGAGCTGCTGGGAATGTAACTACCCCCCCCCCATTACAAATTATTACTTCGTTCATAAATCACAACGAAGACCCACGACGTCTTTCTCTCTCTCTCTCATCTTCTTTTACCCGTAGGTGTCGAGGTTTTTTATGTATTCAATTGATCTATTTGGACGATGGTAGGACTCCTTGGATGAGTGATCAGCCCGACGCAAGGCCTCTACCTATACAAACACAGAAATACGCGGACAAACATCCATGCCTTGAGTGGGACTCGAACCCACGGTCCCAGCGGCCAGGCGCACGAGGTCCATGCCTCAGACCGCGTGGCCACTGCGACCGGCAAGACCCACGACGTCTGTAGCGATAAATTACTGAAATGATGAGAGCCAGGAAGTGTCATTATGTGCTTTTTTGTCAAACTACCTTGGGTAGTTTCTTAGGAGGTGCGTCAATATGGATGCCTCCTACTTCGACGACTGCTGGAACCAGAGGTCTTGCCTTACTTAGACTGAAGTGGCTGTTAACCAGGATCAAACTTCCACGTCTCGCAATATCACAAAGACTTGGCATCGGCGCTCCCAGATGCTTCTCGACGATCGATCTACCTGGTAGATCGAAGAGCAGAGGATATACGATCCACTTGTCCACAACAGTGTCGATAGTGTTCGAAAGTCTCTCCAAGAAGCTCATCTTATCACTATGCGATTGAAATATATTTGCAATGTACGATGGATTATCTGGGTTTCCAATTCTATCATTTGCCCACGGCATCAAAACGCTTGAACTAAAATAAATGAACGGCGTTTTGAGGATGTGTACGAGTCCCAAGAAACAATCTGTGTTGAAGAGTTCGGTAATAATCAAGTCGAATCTTTGGTTGACGAGTTGCTGTACTTTCGATAGCGACAGGATGGACTTGCAATGTAGATCTGCCAAATACGACAGAATTACTGCATTGAGGATGGAACCCAGCGACTCAACTTCCTTGAACGAGATGGCCTGCATAGACGCCATGGGAACTGAACCCTTGATACTTATGTCTGTGATGTTTGGTAAAGGATTTTCTTGAGGGAAATGGCTCACGACCACAACTTCATGCCCGCGTGAAGCAAGTTTCTTCAGATATGGATGAAATACGTCATAATGGCTTTTGCCCACGTGTGGGAATAAAGCCAGTATTCTTGAGCACGTGACTAGCTGGATACACAGCATTGTTACTGCAATCACCTTCATCTGAAAGAAGGGTAAAAGCCTTTACCATGCGCACTGTATTGAAATCAGGAGCCATTTGCAGCTGACATAAACGAATAAACAAACCGAACAGTGAGCAGAAATAATAACGTGATTGTTAATATCCAATGCAATGCAGTTCATTCTTTTTTATACAATTCCAAATCTATTTTCTTTTTGGATGTTTCACGAAATATTGAAACATATCTGTTTCCTCCTTGACGCATATTTGACGTAAAGTGTACGCTATTTACAGGCTTAAAATCGTTCCAAGACCAGAAGCTGATAGGTATTATTATCTGTGGTTTAATTATCGCAAGGCTAACAACCTTGCACCGTAAAAAGGAAGATGTTTCGAAACCTCGATCAAAGCCTCGGACAGACGGACCTAACAGAGGATCGAATGGAATTGAGGAGGCCAGGAACCGAATACGGACCGGAGAGCCATAGAAGAAGAAGAAGAAGGTATATTTAAGGCAATTTTTAGTTTAAAGTATTTTCATACGACTGTGGTCTCTAACTTGTTTCTCCAGACCAGCATTTCGTGTATAATGTAGTTACTACGCTTGATTCGTAGTTGATATTTTCTGGTTAAAATGTCTGACATGGTAACAGCTACCCAAACGTAAGTCCTGACTTTAGTATTTAGTGATTTGCCTCAGTTTTTCCAGACTAATAAACACCACCTACAATTAAATTTTATACAGATTGTCCCAAAAGTCTCGCAACCTCAAAGTTAAAAGTAAATATATTTTGCTTCGTGTGATAGAGAATTTTTAATTTTGCAAGCACAGTGGTCTGTCATCCCAGCAAACTGGTTGTTTGAAGAAGCTTCTTAGTACTCGTTGCTATTTCTTTATTCATCTGTTTGTGAATGAAGCATCAAGCAGTGTTTGTTATTGAACATAAGACCATTATCGAACACAGTCGTATGAAGCAGTTTTTCCTGATGCTGTGCCAAGTAAATAAGCCATTTTTCGACATTAAACAAACGACACGTGACTCTTCGTAGACCTACAATTTTGTTAAAACGGGTTCATAATGGTAGGGAATAATTTTAATATATATTGTAATTACATAATTATTACATGTAGAAGTAAAAAGTTTTCTGGATGTTTTCCATCGTCCAATAAATAAAATAATAAAATCCACGACGTTTCGGAGATGGGACTCTTTCTCCGTCTTCAGGTAGAATTGAGCTATAACATACGTAATTATATTCTAATATGTTTAATAAACATGACATTCAACGTTGAGCGTTACTTAACTTTTGAGACATTCCATGCATGTAATTAATACAGCTTAGAATTTTTTTAAAATTACATACGTTTAAGTTGATAAGGGCGATTGTGTTGTTTATGTAATTTTTCTGTTTTAGTTAATTGAAAATTACGCAGATCACGTGATAATTGAAATGACAGTTGTAAAGTGATAAGAGTACTTTAAAACAAAGAACTCGTGTACTACAACTCGTGTCTATAGAAGAATTGTCGTTGCTTATTATACGCTTTTGAACGTGGTCTTTCATTATATGTACTGCTAATAATGATAACTGCGTATGTTAATGCATGGTATGAGTACTGAATAGTTTTACTGTATTTACCAATAACAAACAAGCCAAAGATGTTGCGGAACACTTTACCATAGTACTCATCAATTCAGAAAAGAGGCGTTTTAGAACTTCCTTAAAAGAGCATTAGATTAATTCGTTCTGATCTTAATAACATGTATTCTTTTCTGATACATTTAAAATAAGCTATTTTTAGTAGCATTCGTGTTGGCGGTAAAGAGAACCCAAAATTGCTTTTGATCTCCCGGAAACAATATTACCATGTTCACACGTAACATCGAATACGTTAGAATAAAGTTGTGAATGTTATTTCACTAGGCGACAGCAAATACTGTGAACATTTTAAATTATTAAATTAACAACTATCGTAATATGTCTGCAACAGTTTAATAGTAACAATTTTTAATTTTTAACATCCCTGATTATTTACAATGTGTCCTACATGGACATTCAGTAAATCTTCTGGTATTGTCTAATGACGTGAGGAATACTTGTCCAGTGACAATATTTGTTAATAATTAATTTAACAGTACTTTACTTAAGGTGGGATTCGAACCCACGGTCCCAGTGACCAAGCGGCACAAGGCCCACGCCTCAGACCGCGTGGCCACTCTGATCCCCAGATAGTAACGAATAACGACCATAAAATTAACTTGTAATGTTTATATTAATTTTGGTGTTTAAAAAAACAATGCACCAAAATTAGTAATAACAGTCATTTCTTACGTGTGACTTTTGAACTATTCTTGTGACATCAATACATTGTTGGTGAGAAGGAAATAATATATTTGTAGAACTTACCTCTCTCGGTGTGTTCGTTTTAATTACTGACTAGCTGCCTGATCTTCAGTTCTTTTGTCGCTGTACACAAATGGCGACCACCAGGACGTCATTGCCAAGAACTCGAATTATTTATAGACGTAAAAACGATAGCAGAGGAAAATTGACCAGACAGTAGAAATATCAAAGTTCGCGACATTAAATTTCCACGGTATTTATTGCGTACTCCTGGAAATTCAGAAAATAGAACTGTAGACAGTAAATAGTTAACAGAAACACAAAATACATGCAGAAAATTGTTTGGTACTGTCACCTAGAGCAGCGTTTCTCAACCTATGGTACGCGAACTAAGTCAGAAAATCAAAAGTTAATATTAACATAAATACGTTTTCCCTGAACGCATTTAATGTGTTAAATTAGAATTAGTGGTACGACAGCGGAAAAGGTTGAGAACCTCTGACGTAGAGTAATGTAGTTCGAAATTTATTTAAATACATAGTGACATCACTGTTTGTTAACTGGGTCCATTGTCATCAAATATGGCGCATCCTGGAGTTGTCGATTGAAGAAAAGGTTACCACATATTGAGGGATATTGAAGGTAACTGCGAATGTATCGTTTATCATTCGATTCAGAACTGAAGCTGTCAGGAAGAAAAGTCAAAGGTCACTGGCCAGTATCGGTGTGACTAGCAAGTCGAAAATTTGAGACACATTAAGAACATTCAATGTCCTTACACAACAAAGCAATCTGTGCTTTTTCTACTATAAAAATTTTTGATTCCCCGTTGTCGTCAAACAATTTGTAGCCAAACAATTACGTCATCAAACAATGTTACGTCATTTGTTTACATTTGATCAAGTGTTTTAACCCTCCATTCGGGGGGTTTAGTTTAGTTTCTTACACAAGATTTTAAAACGCAACCCCCCCCCCCCCCCGAGGAACTCCGAAAGGAGCGCTTTGCTATAGTATAAAGAAATTATTTATAACCAGAAAACACTGAATTAAATAACTTTTGTTAAGTGCCTTGTCTCCACGGTTTGCCTCTTCCTGAAGTTTCGAATTCAGAAATCGATCTCCACATACTTTAAATACATAACTTAGAACAGCCGACATGGGGTGAGGTAGAGTGTGGCGTTGAGTTGACAATTCGAAATGTCATGTATTTATCTCTAACGTCACAGACTTACAGAGTCTGAGAACAAATTACTTACGAAAATATTTTTACCTCATTCTTCCTTGGCTCTACGATCCTCTGAGGACCTTGGCCATTCTGAAAATCTTAGGTCTACGAAACCAATGAATTCAAGATGGCTGTCTTCTGGGTTGTTGCGCCGTGTAGTCTGGTAGAAGTTTGCCGACGTTTCAGAGGTCATTGCTGCCCCTATCATCTGAGCGATGATATATATTTGTTCTAATAATACCACATGAGTCATTAGCATTTATGTAGTAATCAACAAGTAGGATTTGAGGTTCTCGCGGCCTTGAAGACAGTGAAAAGTCGATAAGCTTCGACCAAACTACACGGCGCCACAACTCAGAAGAAGACAGCTTTCTTCAGTATAGTAGACTTGGTGATAATAATCGTAAATGTTACTAAAACTGTCATGCCGGATAGCCATATGGATTCACGAACCGGTGAAACAAGTGTAGACCTAAGTTCTTTGAGGACCGCTGTTAAGTTAAGTCGTGGACCATACGTCAAGTGGCCGAGGATAATCTCCAATGTCGGGCTGTCGCGACCCGAACTTTCGGGTTTCATACAACGCGGAGAATTTCTGCCGACTGTCATCTTTTCAAGAAGGATATATCTTTAAGGACCCCGCAGATTACTTGGCTGTGAGTGTTACAGATTGAATTTATATCACGATGTTTTATCAACTGGTGAGGATATATAACATCGAATGAGGTATATAGGGCTTGCAAAATGAATAGGGAAGTCTGTAAAAGTCCTGCAATACGTACACAATATAATATTGCTGTGTAATTAATAACTTCGAAAAAAATTAGTCCCCGGGTTAGGATTCAAACAGGATTATAAGTACATATCACAAGATCGACCGCTGACTGAACTCGATCGATAATAGACCTTAATTTCCAAATTTTGATTTTCGTTTGGTTTCGTTTCATTTGGGTTTGGAATTTCCTGTAGGCTGAATAAATGACGAGCTTCGGGGCTTGTAGTCCTCACCTGATATCTATAGGGTGATTAAATCGACAAGGTTGAGGTGGGCTGAACACGCAGCACGCATGAGGGAGGTATTGATTCGGAGGCCTGAAGGGAGGAGACCGATGGGAAGACCTGGGAGGATAATGTTAGGTTGGACCTTAAGGAGATAGGAATCAATGAAGCGAACTGGATTAAGCTGGCTCAGGATAGAGTCCGGTGTTGAACCTTCGGGTTCTTTAAAGAAAGTGGGCTATTCTTTGACAAACCGAGTATAGAACTGGCTTTTTAAATAATTTTGTTTGCCATAGAGTGAGTGAGTGTAAGCTGTTGTAGTCAAAAACGGACAGCTTGCAAGAGTAAGCTTATGTAACTTCCCATTGTTCCGTGTGGCTGTCTAGCACCGGGTTTTCCCTGACAACAGCCAACTAAAACTGCGTTATTCTCTTATTATATGGACTTTTATTCTTATATCTAGAAAGCTATACCCTACTTTCGTATTCCCACGTATTTATTGCTAATTGTATTCGGTCGTTTACATCCAGCTTTGTATTCTCCTATATTCTGTAATTCAACAGGATTATAGCAATCGTCGCCAAACTGCGTGCTTCAAGGCCACGCAAGGAATCCTCATTTACCACGCGACTCTACGTCAAGAGTACAGTGTTCATAGATTTTCTACGAAACGAGTTCTAACATGTCTTCACTTTCCTGGGCTGGTGTTACATAATTGCACGATTTTGCTGTGACTTTGAAGCATGAAGGATATTTCTATTGAAATATTTTCCCATCTGATCCCGTATGCAAACATTTAATGCAATATTTACAAATCCTCTTCCCCTCTCCGTAGAGGTCGTGTCATCTTCTTACATCATCACTTCTTCCTCCTCAATGTCCAACCATCCTAAACCACTTCCCACATTTCATACATAGCATCTTTTGTATTCTTCTTACACCCACAAAAATGTCCTGCCTCTTATCTGCCGTTTAGCATCATTGCGTCTTTCTTTAATTTTAGCACATCACATCCGCAATATTCTGTTCTCCTTTGTTTAATTCTTCACTCAGTTTCTCTATCATGTTCTACCACTGGGTAAACACTTTCTGTAAACCCTTAACAGAAAATCCACCAGAATAATCAGCGGCTTCCTCTGTAAGTACAGTATTACTTCGATTTTGAGAATCACTCTTGATTTAGTAATAGGTTTTTTGGAAAAGAGACGCTATATCAATGATTACACGCCATCAAATGTAAGACGCACCTGACGATTTAAGGAAATTGAAATTGTGTAAAAAAAATACTTCTTAAAATCTAGTTAATAGGTGTAGTAAAGAAACAATCTTTTCTCGTACCATTTCTCTGTTCGCATAAAACTTTGTATCATTATACGTTTTCTTGAAGGATTCAATCACGTTGCCATTCACTATTTTTCATCTCAATTTAGACCCCTAACGCTCAGATAAAATCATGAAAGTCCATATTTGCTATTCTGGAATTGTTAGTGTAACGTGCATACTTTAAAAATTCGCTACTTTACAGGGATCTCGGGATGTCGGGCTTATTTCCACAACGGAGAAACGGTGTCACTTTAACCACCACACATCCCAGTGGATTAGCCTGGGTGCGAACCCGGGCCTCTCTTGTGAGTAGGAGGGAAATAGCCATATTGCTTAAGCATGCACCTATAATCTTATCGGTTTTTCACAGCACATATGGCAATGACAAATTTCCATACGTTACGAAACCAACTGATAACTGCCTGACAGCCAAAGTAAACAACATACATGAATAAAAATACATCGTAATCGGGCACGAATATAGAATACATATTAGTGTTCCCTACAAGCAGCAACTTACACATTTAAAATTACTGTGTGAAGAACTATTTATGAAAATATTCTAAAATATAAAATATAATAATAAGTTTCGTTTTGAGCTCCAACTGTTGGATAGTTTGTGTGTACGGGGAGTCATTTAATTTTTTGAAACTCAAGTAGATATTTACAAATTACATAAATTTTCTTAGTATTCTTGTTTCGTATTCGGGAGATCCTTAGTTCGAATCACATCTGGGTAAACCGATTACCTGACATTTGTCGCTCATTTCCACGAGTCACACACGTCGTCATTTTGTTCTTCCGAGCTCTCTCGCTGTCTTGCCTGGTATCCCGATTACTCTTTTACAGAATAACTCGCGAATTTTCTTTGGTTCTTTCCAACCATCTTTCAACCCCCACATTTCCACCTGTCGTCATAAGTGACTCTGCTAGCGTGTTACGTAATTACTTTTGAACATTGACCTCAATAGTTGGTGCTCTAGATACAGAATATACCAAAAATATATGTACACACAAGGTTATTATTCCCTTATTATGTGTATATATATTTTTGAGACATTCTGTATATTAATACTACTTAAACATTATCTTCCCGTTCTTAAACACTACTACATAAATCTTAGCTACATTTATCTTTATGTTCCACTCTTCACAAAGATCTTTTATTCAATTGATCGCCCTTGATCCTATTTTGATTGTTGCTTCCACTGTCAGATCGTTCGCAAAGAGCAATCCTGTTAATTACTCTTTCTAATTTCATGATAATGCGTGTTACATTTCTCTACCATGCTTAAAATACCACCAATAAATATATAAAACAGAACTGGTAATAATAAATAATCCTTTCTTAATTCAATATCTGAATCAAATTCTTCAAATATCGATTGCCTTTTACTGTTATCGTAATATTTTATAGAGTCCGTGGACTGACTCAGTGGATTTCGTTGATAGCCATTTCTTCCCCAGTTTCCTCCACAAGGCCTCTCTCGCTTCTGCATCAAAAGCCTTTTGCAATTCTACACATATCCATTGTACCTTGCCCCTCTTGAGCCAGAGACACTTATCTGTTATAGTCATTGACATACGAGGTGCGATCGGAAAGTTTCAAGACTGTGTCAATAGCGGGCGAACCGGATGTAGTACGAGCTTCTGCCGCTGGGGGGTGCGGCCTACATTCATAGTGAATCAGTGTGCCAGCCGGCATCATCGAATTAGCATTTGTTTCTTAGTTGCGGGCGTTTTGGTAGTGCATTACACCGACCCTCCTGCGATTTCGGAATGGCGTGTGCATCAAATTTTGCCAAAGACTCGCCAAAACGGCTACGGAAACCTATGAAATGCTAAAGCAAGCATTTGGGGAGTCCGCAATGGGTCGTGCACAAACTTTTGTGTGGCATTCACGTTTTAAAAATGGCCGAACCTCTGATGATGATGACGAGCGTTCTGGACGACCATCTTCGAGCGCAACGCCCGAAAATGTTACGAAGATCGACGTCGTACCATCAACGATTTGTGCGACATTGTTGGGATAGGCTATGGGACCTGTCAGCTGATTCTAAAGGAAGAACTGCACATGCGACGCATCCTGTCTGAGGCCCAGAAGCAGAATCGACTTCTCGTTTGTGAGGAGCTCAAAGATCTTGCAAGAACCGACCCCAACTTCCTTTCTAAGCTCCGTGTGACTTCTTCCTCTTCCCAAAGATGAAAATTCAGCTAAAGGGAAGGAGATTTGAGACGATAGAAGAGATTCAGGGAGAATCGCAGATGGTGCTTGACAGGCTGACAAAGAAAGATTTCCAGGGATGCTTCCAGGCTTGGCAGCGGCGCTGGGATTGTTGTGTTCACTCCCAGGCGAACTACTTCGAGGGTGATGGATGAATTTAATACCTGATATAAGTGTACGGGTTTTTATAGGCGCAGTCTTGAAACTTTCCGATCGCACCTCGTATATACACACAAACATACGCTATGAATGAGGAAGGATTCAAAACCTGCTTCATTAAACTTCCAGATATCCTACGCAAACGTCAATTAAAAGATACGGCGATCATAATGGACTACGAAAGCAAAAATTCTCTTGTACCAAAGGTAAAAATTGGTAGTGGAACCACGATTCCGGGGAATCTGACGTAAATACGCCTTTGTATTTAAATTATATTTAGGCAATAAATACAATGAAAGGAAGTTTATATATAAATATTCCCATTATGCATGCTTTAAAATTGAGTAAATAGTTTGATTAAGACATTAAGACCTCCTAATTTGCATAAATGGAAGTCTAGGGGATATTAATCATTCGCTTATGCAATCTAGAGAAGGCAAATCAGTGGGGTATAGTGGATACACAAATCGATTACTCCTAGACAATATAGGTATTTGCTGCTTATTTAAAGATAGCCAGCATGTTGTGCATTCCTTAAATTGGGATACTTTTTCATTTACAAACTCCGTACCCAATATATCTAAATGGCTATCAGTAACTTGTTTCAGATCTTTTTCAAACCATAACCGATCACATATATTGCAAGCGTATCCAAATATATTTTCATTAAAATGCTTATGAAAATATTCTGTTGCATTGTCATACCTTGGTTGTACTTGCTAATGATTTGGAAGCATTAACTTTCAATACTTGCTTCTTGCGATTTCTATATTCCCTCACACGTTCAGCATTAGTTTTTGGTCGTTTTTGGGAACTTCAGGTTCATTATTTAATACTTCTAATTTTTTACGTTTTCTGTACTATCTCATATATTCTGCATTATGGGCTCTTTTAGCTAAAATGTCATCCATGTTGTTATCTCTACATAGTATGACGCAACACACAAACGAAGCAGTAGCGTGAAGTGCGATGGGCCTTTATTTGTATAAATAAATGTTTGTAGAACCTAAACCATTTGTGATATGTAAGATCTGAAAACATATATGGAAAGCTCAAGAGGTAATACGTATTTCGTATGTAATATGTCCGAATCCATCTCTTACGGTTTTCGAGAGGCGGGCGCTTAACGAGATGAACAATAATAATGTACAGGAATCCCTTACCTCAAACTTTGTTCAATTGTAAGAGACCACGATGTCCACCGGCAATGATCACTTTAATCAAAACTAAAATGGAGAGAGTGGAGGGCAGTATCACAGATTTCTTAATAATTCTTATATAAGATAAGTAATTGTGATATTCTAAAACGTTTTTAACAGCACAAAATTATCTACTCTACGACGCACTTCTTCTACAAGCGATTTACAGCTCAGCTCTTTCCGCAATAACGAAATCGGATTGTTGACGGCAGTAATGAAACACAACAATGCTGAATAAACAGATGACATAACAATTAATTTCGTAGGTAAAGGAGCAAAGCATTGTTATGCACGCAGGATTTCATATAAAAGCTGACCATTGTCGGTCCATATTTACACCCCCGATCATGGAGGCCATCAGCTGAAGTGATCTTCCCCCCATGCCGCAGAGGCCTTCAGCCGAAACGGCCCCTCCCTCTCTGGGTTCATACCCCAGAGACCCAACCAACCAAATTCCTTCGACAACTTGCCTGACAGGATAACCTCCCATCAGCAGCAACAAATCCCAGTTTGAATGGTCGAGGCTCCCGCCACGACGAAACCCCGTTAGCGTTAGCAAAATTTCCGTTCTTATATTACGACCGTTTACCATTTCCAGCAATGCGTCTTGTGCGCAGGAATGGTTTCACCTAGGTAGGGACGATGCTTGCGTTTGCGCAGGCCTCTGCCCTCAGTTAGCTTCTTTGGTTGGTTGTTCCATATTTACACATTTTCCTAACGCTGTTTTTGCCGAATGACCCTTCGTCAAAAAAGAAAAGCGAAATTATGAAGTGGGTACAGAAGAGCAACGTTTGTCTCGATCCATATCACACCAAGAATGAGCTCGCCCTTTCAGCTGTAGGCAATCTACGGAATAGACGAGACCGATTACACTGCACCCTCCAGAGGACACACAGCACTTCGTCTCCCACCTTACATGTGCCCCAAAAATCCAACAGAGCTCATTCGGCCTCAATAAAGAGGCATTGATCAACTTTTATACACGGTGCCCTTGGCAGCATCTCAGAGGATCGGTTAGACAATCGGAGAAGATGAAGGATGAATATATTACAAATGGAACTGCAAGGGCCGAAGTTACGGACATAATTGGATGACAGCGACACGGAAGACGAAGATCAAGGTTGTTTTTCGTAAGTTATCAGAATGGAGGACAACTGTATTGTAACATCCGGCAGGTATTAATCAAACTAGCTCTTATTAATTCAGTTCAATTCTTTATCTTTAGTGTGCTGTATCAACAGCCTGAAGGCAACATAACAGAATGAGAAAAAATTATATTATTTTACACAATAACCTGTATGAATATATAATTAAAGGGAACACCCGCTAAAATAACAAACGATAATATTACTACGCAGAACACATAAAAGAGCCAAAAAATGCTATGACATAGCATGTGAAAGATAATAACATTGTTTAAAGACACCAACTCAGACCTATCTTATCGGACAGGGAAACACAATTTAAACAAAGGTCATTAATGACGCATTTTCAGCAGCTCAAACTATATAGTGTAAAAAGAGTGAATGATAATGAATAGTGAATTGGAAGGGATGTGGAAGGAAGCGGTCGTGGTCTAATTTAAGGTACTATCCCGGCATTTGCCTTGAGGGATTGAGGAAAACCACGAAAGGCCCAAGTCAGGATATCCGGTCTCCGGGCCGAGATTTAAACACGGGACCTCCCGAATACGAAAGAGGCGTTTTAACCACTCGACTACGACGTTGTCGCGTGTTAGGTTGGCCGTGAGATTCATCACCAGAGTACAGACATACCTCGTTTTATTGCGCTTCGCAGATATTGCGTTTTTTTTTTTTCAAATTGAAGGTTTGTGGCAACCCTGCGTCGAGAAGTCTATCGGCGCCATTTTTCCAACAGAATGTGCTCACTTCGTGTCTCTGTATCACATTTTGGTAATTCTCACATATTTTCGTCAGGGGTCCGCAGTGGCCGCGCGGTCGCTGGGACCGTGGGTTCGAATCCCACTCAAGCCATGGATGTTTGTGCTGTCCTGTGTACAGGTAGAAGCCTTGCGACGGGCCGATCCCTCGTCCAAGGAGTCCTACAAAATGTCTATAGATCGAACCAACGAAAAAAGTTGGGAACCGCAGTGCTCAGGCACTTGAAGAACGGGTCGTTCCCAGTATCTAAGTAATATAGATTCAACCTCTCGCTCAGCAATTCTGTATGACGAGACTCATTTCTGTTTGACGGAACACATTTCTGTATGTCTCGGAATTAACAAAACTCTTGACATTTATTATCATTAAAATACTTCTCCTCACTATGAGCTTACAATTCAAAACAATTATCTTGAGAGAGCTCAATGAAACATTAATCAGTAACAATACTTGCTACGTGGCGAACAACGTGCTTATTCTATAGTTTTAATAGAAGCATGGCAAATTGCCGGTGGGCATGCACAGTACCGACTTCACAGTCACGCGTCATGTTTTGTAAAGGTTGCCATGCTTCAAGTTATATTGTGGGAAATGTGGTAGTTAAATAATTCGATGACTTTTTATTTCAAAGTTATAGGATGGATATTTATGAAAAGAAAGTGTTATGAATTCACTTCAACTGACAAAATACTGTATTATTTGCTCCATGAATAAATACGAATTATCGCAAAGTAATCAATCATTTAAGAGTTGATAAACAATACAATATACGTACACGTTGTTCACAGGCTTTGTCATATTGTAAGGAAAATGTCTTGTTATGCGCTAATAAAAGTCTATTGTGTTTCAGTTGAGGGTCTTGTTAGGGAGAAAATAATTACTGGCATTCTAAAAATATTCAGTGTGGCCTTGTTAGAACAGTTTTGACATAAACACGTAATCCTTATTTCATAAATAGGTTAGTTGTAATGGAGTGTAATAATAGCCTTTAAGCACACGGTTGACAGTTTATTTGTACTTAAAAATTTGTGTCTTCGATGTGATTTATGTAAATTACCCTCGCTGTAAATCAACGAAAAGATTATCTACTACGCTGCACATTTGCCATTGTCTGAGGTAGGTCTATATTATTGAACACAATGTTGGCTCAACGCCTGTCTTCAGGTTGTCATTATACTGACAGAATTTTACTGTTAAAACATAAAAATGTTTTCTTCTGATAGAAACACAAGACATATTTTCTTTTAATGGAAAGGTGCCAATAATCTCTCAGTATAAAGACAAGTAATCATCTGAAAGTATGAGAAGAATCAACCCGCGAAACATTGTTTATATTTTATTTATATTTTACTATACAGTTAGTAGCTCATTATATTATTTCAAATTATAAGTTGATTATTAAATAATCAATTATAACAAGAGAGAACAGAAGCAATGACTTAAGATACTGTCCCTGAATTTAACTGGAGTGACTGGGGAGAAACACGAAATCACTCAGTCAGATTATCTCATTTTCGGGACGAGATTTGTATCCCGAATTCTCAACAGCTTTGTTCGGTGTCATGCATAGTAAATATTCCTCAGACGATGAGAAGCTAATATAACTCTCAGCTAGTCAAGAATTTTTAAACTTTTATGAAACTCGAAGATTTGATACCGTGTTTATAAAAACCCTTCACCGGAATATAATCCAACCATATTCCCTTAATACATTTTAATATTATCCTCTGATATTTATCTAGGTTTCCTACGTTCAGGGTTTCCAGGATAGCATATAATCCAACCATATTCCCTTAATACGTTTTAATATTATCCTTTGATATTTATTTAGGTCTCCTACGTTCAGGGTTTCCAGGATAGTCAAGAACTAGCAAAGAACACCATTAATTTGTTAACAAGCCGAAGGAAGGTCTCAGTTTTAGATGTGACGCTTGCTATAAGTAGAAATCAAGGCGAATGCGAAAACGGGCATCATTTAACATAGCCGTGAATTCTTTGAACGAGAGGTACTTTGTAGTCGTCGGAGTCAAAATGTTAAGGCGAGTCCGGGAAACTGCACTCGCGTCTCAGTGGACCTGCACTGTAGCCTTACAGTCGCCGCGGATAGGATAATGATTCTCCTCCTCATGATATCGAAATCAAACGGTGGAAATGCGAAAGGCCGTGTAATGAGTCACCTGTACAAAGTTTTTCGGCCTAGTTGCCTCGGAGAAAATTTTACAGTCAGGCTCGGTGGAAAGTTATAAACTCTTCTTTACTCACAAATATTACTTATATACTAATACAAACTACAGGCATACCTCGTTTTATTGCGCTTCGCAGATATTGCGTTTATTAAAAGTTGAAGGTTTGTGGCAACCCTGCGTCGAGCAAGTCTATCGGCGCCATTTTTCCAACAGCATGTGCTCACTTCGTGTCTCTGTGTCACATTTTGGTAATTCTTGCAATGTTCTCGCATTGGTTTTTTAGACATAATGCTATTGACACTCAATAGACTACAGTAAAGTGTAAACATAACTTTTATATGCACTGGGAAACCAAAAATTTTGTGTGACTCGCTTTATTACGGTGGTCTGGAACCGAACCCGCAATATCTCCGAGGTATGCCTATATACATATAAATGTAGCAAGAGCAAAGACTTATCTACAAAGCTCTTTGTTGAATTCAGAGTAAGAGAAATGCAATGAGACAAGCGAGCAAACTGAGAAGCTTTGTAGATTATCAATTGTCGTAACACGTGTAAGAAATTTGCAGTGGTCAGGTGTGGCACTGCTATCAGACTCTGCAAGAAAAATGTTAATGCTGTAGACTGCTACTTTAAAATAAAAACTTTTAATTTGACATGTTTTCTTTTGTTGAAGTGAAGATGTCTGTCTTCTGGGTTGTTGCGCCGTGTAGTCTGGTAGATGTGTTCCGTCATGTCCGCCCAAGAGTGTTCTTACGTCACCAACGAAGAAGGAAACGTTCCCTTTTGCAAGATGATTCAAGACCCACACAACAACGTTTCAAGATGACGAACCCAAATTGGTAAGTTAGAATGAGACCTATACCACTTTTTGACTGAACAATTAGTTTAATCTGTGGCAGTAACACTCATTGGCTGATAAAAAATGTTGCAGCAAGAGGATGAAAGTGGAAGTTTCTCAACTCTGGAACATTCCAAGAAGCTAAATTTTCTACTAGAGAATGAGATTACACGCCATGTAGGCGCTTAGGGGAGAGCAAGTTTAGTTACTAATCATTCTTAACCTCGGCACTAGATGGGGGTGAGTGGTCAGCGTCACGCCCCGGCCGGCTTTACCCCCTGGAAAGGACCCGGTTCCCGCTGGATAGGAGACTTGGTGGACCCCAGAGCCGGCCTGGACGCAGCCGCTGGAAGAAAATCCTCTGCTCCTGTCGGGGATCGAACCCCGGTCAGTTTATGCAATTTTTATTATTATACGGTTATGGTAGAGATATTTGAATGTTCCAGCCCTGGCGGCTTCGAGGTTGATCACCCCGTAGTCTAATGATGTGACACTAAATTCGTCTATCTTTTTACTGGTTGACACGTTGACGGAAAGGTTATAGAAATGTGACTTACCGGCATGGCAGGCATTTTACATTGCTACTCTCCTGTGACTTTGTACGTAGATCAGACAGATGAAATGGATACGAAGGAAACGTGAAAGAAATGAGGGAAGGAAGAAAGAAACATTCCCCGTTGCATTTTACCGGATCATTTTCATTGGGTTGGATATAAAATCAGACTGAACAGCACATTAACTGTTAATAAGAAAATGTAACTCGGAAAATAAATTGTCAGCCTACTTGGCTTACAGTCACAACGTCCAGTATCGAAATAAGGACTTTCCAACCTACAGAATGCGAGGAAAAATCAAAGATAATTATAAATGTGTACTGTACGTTAAGTCCTTATGTATGATCGGTTACTAAACTAACTTCACGCTGGTTGGCACAGATGGTGGGATTTCATAAGTAGGATTTTAGGTTTCCAAGGCGGTGAGTCCGAAGATGACGACTGTCTTCGGGGTTGTAGCGCCGTCTAGTCTGGCACAGATTTACGAATATTTCAGAAGTTCTTGCTACGGCACTACAACCCCGAAGACAGCCACCTTGGGGGGGGTTTCTGCTCACTGTAACTGCCTGCCACGTACAGTTTGTTTATTGGCGTCACTTCAAGTGAACGGGTGTACGACATGTAGAAAAACGAATCATAAATGGTAGGGCGAACATCTATTCCTTGCGCCGGACTCGAACCCTCGAGCCTGGTAACCTATGTTCCACCTCGCACTCCACAAGTATTATTACGGCCGGTACCAAGGAGTTGTTGGATGTTGATAAGTGTCGAAAATATGATTTGTGAGGCCACATTTTCTAGACGCTTATCAATACCCAGTAACTAATAGGTGGCAGCACATTACATTTTACCTTTCCACCATTCACAATTTCCCTTACATCCACAGTTGCTCAGACTTGCCTGTCCAAGACTCTTCACTTCGTGGGACCCTCAGCCGTTGTAAGTACTCGTACTGTGCCCATTACCCCATTCGTTTTCAGATACCCCCTACTGTCGTAAAATTTTGGGCAACTTAAAAAATGTGAAACCCAGGAAGCGATCTGCTGTGTTTACGCTCCGAAACCTTTGGCGTTGCGACGAAATTTCAGGTACGCGGCAATGCGTATACGGCTGATGTATCTGCGGAATTTAGCGCCGAGATCATAGAAACATTAGCAGTGCAACGAAGGTAGTTTTGGGGTAGACCGTTTTCGAAAGACAGTTACTAGACAGTCGCTTACAGTCATTTGCCGAGCAGCCAGACCTGGGGGTGCCAACTTCCAGATCAGCCTAACCCAACCATCTCATAGAGGGGGGATCACCACCATGGTCGCCTGGACACCCATGTTCGCAGCTGCCGCATTATCCATTACTAGTGGAGAGGCTGAGTTTGTATAAGATCGGAGGTGTTAGAGTAGATTAACGATAATATTAAAGACGTGGGTGGATACTAGGAACGACAGAATTGAACCAAACAGGCAGAAGTTGAATATTTATCATGTTTAAATTGTGTAATTGTAGACGTGTACATAAAGCTGTAGTACAAAAATGAAACGTAATTGTCATGTGCTAGGAACCCCAAAACGTATCAAATTCCAGCCCAGCTCTTCAAGAAAGCCTACCATGGAATAATATACAAGTATTCGATATCATCATCATATGTTTTGTTTGCAATTTTTTGCACCACACCTAAGCGTTTTTGTACTTGCACTTATTCGGAGAAGTATTATCTATGAGCGCTTGATGTCGTCTAATTATATTTCTCAGACTGGAACAGATGACCTGAAGAGCAGATATCTTAATATCTGATAACCTAGGCATGGGGAATTTAGAGCGTGTTTCTGTCTTTTACTCCACTGATGCTGTCGTTTACTGACAAGATTACTTATCCAGACATTGTTTTGAGGTAATATGGCAAGGCCGTGGTCTAGGCAACACGGAGTTTTCCTCCGGGGGCTTCTTCCCCGGTTTCTCCGTGGCATCCCAACAATTACTCCATTCACACACAGAAGAAGGCAATGGCAAACCACTTCTGGATCATCTGCCAAGAACGTATATGAACAGGTCCCAGTCCGAGAAAAGGATGGAAGGATCCTGTTCATATGGACCTGTCGTCAGACAGAACACTAAATAAATAAATAAAATAAAAATTCGATATCCAGGTTCTGGCGAACCACCAGATTCATCTATATTATTTATCATTTGTAGGCCCAAAACGTACATCCATCACCGTACACCACTTATCCCAACTAAAATATCGGATGAACCCAACAACCCTGATCGAAAACCTCACCTCGTAACTTCCTCCACTTCAACGTCACGCCCCGACCGCGCTTAACCCCGGGGAAAGAACCCGGTACCCACTGGTCAGGAGGCTGGGTGGGCCCCAGAGCCGGTCTGGACGCAGATCTTAGAGGAAAAATCTTCTTCCTCTGTCGAGAATCGATCCCCGATCTTCTGCAGTCAGTCAGTATTAGAGTTTGTCGGTTTTTAAAAACCGGTTATTTGGATAAATTTGTAAAATTCGAAAACCGGTTTTTAAAATTTAAAAAATTGGTTTTGATACTAGAATTAATATTTAAAAATTAATTAATTAAAAACGTTAACATTTTAACTTGAAGTCGCCTCGGGCACAAGCATGTTGTAGTAAAACTAATCTTCATGAGTCAGGCTGAAATTAGTTCCAAATTATTAAATGCTTTAGAAGTACGAATTCAAGAAAGAAGACAAGTTGGATTGGGAACCCTTTTGCTATATTTGCGAAATCCACAAAACATTTCAACAAAGAAATCTAGTGTATTTCCACTAGCTTTAAAACTTGATATTATTAAGTTATCTGGAAAAATATTGTCTTGAATATATCCAAATTCTTGTATGGAAACAGATTCCGATGACGAATATATCGGAGACGGAGAAACTATTAATCAGGTCAATGCTCTAAAAGAAGCCATGGAAAAATCAATTCATAGGTTTCTTGAGGAACAAAAAAATAATATCAAATCCGAAGACACTGAAGGCCGAATTTTCAGTATTTGAGGCAACCAATAAAAGAACAAGGAATTTGTATTTATTATTTGATGCCCTGAAAACGATAAAACCAAGTTCAGTAGCCAGTGAGAGAGTATTTTCTATTTCAGGCAATTTTGTTTCTAGAATAAGAAAAAGATTAGGTAATCGTTCAGTGAATATTTTATGTTTTTTGAAATCATATTTCCTGAAGAAAAATACTGTATAAAATAAAAAATTATAATTTATATTTTGTACGGATTTTAGTTATTTCAGTTTTCTATTTGGTTTTGTATGTAGTATATTTTATTTTGTTATATTTTTTTAGTTCCATAAATATTAAGTAAACTGAATTTTTTTTAAAATAAGTATAAATATTTTTTACTGTTTTAATTATATTTTGGTTGTTTTGTAAAAATTCGAAAACCGGTTTTTTGGAAATACTGGAATTCGAAAACCGGTTTTTTCAAAAGTCGGTTTTTGTATAAACCCTAGTCAGTATACAGACTGAGCTACCCCAAATTAACTTAACCTAATCTGAACGAATCTAACTTACCCTAACCACAAAGCGTATTTGCGAAAAAAAAACCACGGTAACCATGGTAACAAAGCAATCATGGTATTCAAGGAACACAACATAACGAGAGCAACCATGGCAGCCTAATGGTTCTGAAGGCCATTCATGAGGACAGACGGAATGGGCCCCAGAGCCGGTCTGGACGCAGATCTTAGAGGAAAAATCTTCTTCCTCTGTCGAGAATCGATCCCCGATCTTCTGCAGTCAGTCAGTATTAGAGTTTGTCGGTTTTTAAAAACCGGTTATTTGGATAAATTTGTAAAATTCGAAAACCGGTTTTTAAAATTTAAAAAATTGGTTTTGATACTAGAATTAATATTTAAAAATTAATTAATTAAAAACGTTAACATTTTAACTTGAAGTCGCCTCGGGCACAAGCATGTTGTAGTAAAACTAATCTTCATGAGTCAGGCTGAAATTAGTTCCAAATTATTAAATGCTTTAGAAGTACGAATTCAAGAAAGAAGACAAGTTGGATTGGTAACCCTTTTGCTATATTTGCAAAATCCACAAAACATTTCAACAAAGAACTCTAGTGTATTTCCAATAGCTTCGAAACTCGATATTATTAAGTTATCTGGAAAAATATTGTCTAGAATATATCCAAATTCTTGTATGGAAACAGATTCCGATGACGAATATATCGGAGACGGAGAAACTATTAATCAGGTCAATGCTCTAAAAGAAGCCATGGAAAAATCAATTCATAGGTTTCTTGAGGAACAAAAAAATAATATCAAATCCGAAGACACTGAAGGCCGAATTTTCAGTATTTGAGGCAACCAATAAAAGAACAAGGAATTTGTATTTATTATTTGATGCCCTGAAAACGATAAAACCAAGTTCAGTAGCCAGTGAGAGAGTATTTTCTATTTCAGGCAATTTTGT